ATTCATTCCAATGCATCGGGTCTTTTGCACATGCAAAGTCCATCCCACCTACCTACCTACCTAGCTGAGCTTGGGGGCCAGCTCAGACAAGACACCTCCGCCAGTAGGTCAATTTTGGAAAAGGTCAGACTTCGAATACGACGCAAACGGTCAACAATACAATAGATAATCTTGGTATGGCCTTGATTGCTGAACCAGGCAGGGTTTCTCTCTACCGCGTACAGCATCCAAAGTACTCATGCCGCGAGACGCCGGACGGCTTCCCCCAGTATCTACTCGGCTTTCGCTTCAGCTGTCGCCATCTTTCCGACTCTATTCCAACTGCTCAAGCTCCCTCAGCGAAAAACTCTCTTACAATCAAGGCCCGCGAGCTGCTGCTCATGGTAGGCTTTGCCCTGGTCCAGACGCTGCCTGTCTGTCATGAAAGGGGAGTCCTTGCCTCGAGTTGTAAAATCCCGGTCCAGGGACCTTAGAATGGCGTGGTTCTCCAGACTTTCATCGGGCATGATGACGCCTGCTGAAGCAAAGGGAGCATATGGGGCTGGACTGTACCCTAAGTCTGGGGTCCTGGACGGTGGAGCAATTGGCCCCCAGACACAGGGAGTGATCTGTGAAGGGCGCTGTTGAACTGCTGTGATGTGGCCTGCCGAGTTTGGGTCAGCAATCGCCTATGGGCTACCGCTATCTCGGGATAATGTACCAGGACTGCCATTTGTCACATAACCCATCCTATACTCTCGAGCCCGAGAGGGGCCCGTCTCTGTCGTGTCCAGCAGTCCTACTGTCGCAGACATCGATACGTCTCGATGTCGCCATGCAGCTAAGTGTTGAAGCCGGTAGGCTGTCGTCTGGTTTACTTTGCTCTGATCTGCTTCAGCCACAGCACCGCGGCCTTGTTGGTCACCTCCGAACACGGCGCCGCCGGGGGCTGAAGTAACTTGGACGGAATAATCAAAGTTCCGACCACTCACAGTCAGCTGTCGTCGTTGCAACTCAGCCTGCTGCTTCCTCCACCATGTCGGTAGCCCATGGAATAAGCCCAAGCTGTGTTGCGTGGCCTTGTCGAGCGGCATCTCATGCTTATACCTGCAGCCTTGCTGCGTAAAGGCGCAGACTCCCTCGTGGCACCCCACTTGTCGCAGTAGACCTTAGTCCCTCTTGGAACCGGCTGGCGAGCATGCTACGAGGATATCGATGGCCCCCTATCCGCAAGGCTGATCGCCAGCACAACGACCAGGGCCAGGCACGAAAGAACTGCAAGCGCGGCACGTTGCGCGTCACACTGAACGTTACCTGAATGATATCAGTTACTGCTTGAGACGGCGGGGGTGTCTATGCCGTTCAGTCACCTTCAAGCGCGCTCAACCTGAATTAAGGGAAGCCGTCATCTCACCTTCAACGTGACAGGCTGCACATTGTTTGACGGGCCTCGGACAGGCTCAGCGCCTGGGAGCGGTAGCACCATCATCCCCCTAGAGCCCTGCTGTATGGCAGGAATGCCCAATGCTGGCGGCAGCATGTCTGCTGGTATCAACCTGGTATAGTTTCCATTGCCCCTGTCCAAGCAGTATGCATATATGCCTGGCGGCTCAGTCTTGTCGCGATCCTTGAGCCAGCTTTCTGGTCTACAGTCAACGCTTGTGGCCGGGCTGGGGCTGAGGGGTGAGAATTGTCCATTCGAGTTTGCTGACGCCAGTTGCCAGTCATGCAATTCAAGACATTGTGGTGTGCTTTTCACCACTGGTTTGGTGGACCTGCTCACGTTGGTAGGCGATGCACGGCCGTCTCGGTCATCTCTCCTTGGCGCTTGATGGTGCTGGTGGGTTATCTTCTGCGTATCTGTCGCCATCATCCGACGATGCTGATCAGTCGTCCTGGTGATCAAGTGCTCGCCCATGAGTCTGAAGTGTGCGTTCTCGACCGTACAAGAGTTCTTGTCGCCTGAATGATGGAAAGCCTCGTCTTCACAAGACGACATTCACGGCGACGGTGCGGTAAAGCGAGATGACAGGGTCGCGAACGCTACCTCTGTCAATGGCGGATGATATGTAGGGGATACGCACGCCGGGCTTCTCCAGGGCGAAGATGGAGGAAATGTGAGAGGAATGCGAGTGTAGAAGAAGTGGATGGGTTGACGTTGGAGGAGCGAAGGGACACAAGTCGCTGCTGCAGTGGTCTGTTTTCTGCATCAACTGCAAACCGTCTTTCACCATGCCGCCCACTGCGCAAGCCACAGCTCCGCGTCAGTGCTTCGTGGCTCCCGTGCAGTTTCTGACCGCGGCAGCTTGGCCTGCTTGACGAACGCCGCCAGGAGAGGTGCTGAGCAGACTACCGAGACAAAGATCGTGTTGGCCGCGGATAACAAGGCATAAGAGGAAGCATGGGCAAAGTGAAGGGAAGGAGGTGTGGCTCGGACTACTATGCCCCCCTCCCTCCACGACCAAACCAGAGACGCCCGTTTGTGTTCTCACAGCTGAACCTGTTTCTCTGACCGAGCCAGGTGGCTTGGGCCACCGTTTGCCCGATATCAGTCCAGATTTGCCACGATGAGGCGGATAGCTGCATTTACTGATTTGTGCCCCTACACGTGACAAACAGGGTGGGCAATGGCCAGCCGCGGGCTACAGTTGCATCTGATAGGCCTTTCATGATCATGAACATCCCGAGCTGGTGAAGTCGTCTTCATGTTGTTAAATTCATCATGTGTGTAAGCTAGTATGATGGACGTCTGTCTTGTGCCCCTCTTGATCCTTTCATGGACGATAGCCCATGGGGTTTTCTGCAACCGAAGACGTATTCTGTCGTCCTTTCCGTAATTGAAAGCCAGATTGAGGCCATATTCAACCGCATATAAACGAAGAGCTAGCCTGTATCATGTATCGGATGAGCTATTGCTTCATCTCCCTGGTCATACCGGTATCGACAGCAAGCGCTGCTTGAGCTCATGTTGCTCGAGGGCGACGAGGGAGTTATCTGGCATTTGCGCAAGTTCATCTAGAGCCATCCGGATCTGAGTCTCTGTCAACCGTCTGTTGCAGGCCGATGTTAGATGGTCGCCTAGACAGCCTGTACACTTCATGTCCGCAAGGGTAGTCTTTGTTGGTTGTCCCTTGGGAGGACCGCGGTGCGGGTGGTATTCGTTGAATCATTTGCTTGGAGACCTTGAGAGCCGCTTCAAGGGTTAGCCCTGGAATCTTGGTCTTGTAAGCCATATCCGGAAGAGCGGGCTTGGTCGCTTCGGAAACCCGGGGGCTTGGGAACGTGGTCTTCACGATTGCCTGTCGTGCATGGCCCTGCCACGGATCATGAGAGGCTTGTCCTGTGCCGCTTAGCCTTCCTTGGGTTTGTGGATGAAAATTTTGTTGCGGTAGTCCCGGGGACTGATTTGGTGGAAAGTTGAAGAATGGAGACTGGTGCTGGTTCTGTTGGTCATCTTGTCGAGTGTTCTGATATGCTGGCCCTGCTTGGAACGGCGCGTTACTGGACAGGATCTTCTGGCCAGGCACGAAAAGGGCGGTTGAGGCCCAAAGAGGGCTAATGCCGTTGTGGACTCGGGGGTTGTTCTGGTGAGTGACGACTTGTGGTCGATTCGAGAGTATTGTGTTCTGCAGCGCAGGCTGCTTCGAATCTGAGTTCTTGGCCTTGGGGTTTTTGGCGCGCTCTCCTTGTGGTGTGTCAGTCTTGCGCGGCCGACCCCTTTTCTTGCTCCCGACAGCGACAACTGGTGGTGCTGGAGCGGCATCTGGGATGGTGACATGTTAGCAAGAGTATCGGCATGTAGTTATTGAAGCCCGGATCAAGGATATCCTACCGTTTACAATAGCAGCTCTCCGGGGCATGATGCCGGCGAGGTCAGTGATACCAACGTCCGGCAATGCTTCGTTTTCACCTGCACTTTCTTCGTCTTCATCCGTATCAGCGTTAAAGTCGCCATCGACATCAGAACCGTCCAGCTCGGTACGTGCTGCGGCATCATTCGCCTCATTAGTGCGATAGTTGATAGCCTGGAAATCATCATGAGTTATGTGTGTTGTACGCAAGACATGGCAAGTATAGACTCACTGTTCGACGTCGCCCTCCCCGTCCCAACACCACCTTTTCCGCCTCTGCGAGTTTCTGCGCCACGGCTTCACGTTCGGCCAGAATGTCTTCCCATATACTTGGGTTAAGGGTGGGGTCCTCGTGTTCTGCCATGTCATCCTCAAAAGTCCCTTTGTCGTTGGCCCAGACTTTGGCAAAAGAGAACTGCGACTCGCCTGAGCCGCTTTCATCGGGTTTGGCCTGCTCGATCTGCGTGCGGTCGAGCAACTTGTCCACACTGGCGTCATCGTATCGAATAATATCTTTCTGGTCCTGCTCGTCGCTGAATAGGGCCGAGGCTCCAAACTTGAGGATTGACTCCAGATCATCGCCTGCGTCGTTCTCGTTGTCCATGGATTCGATGAGAACATGGTCCAAAGCCATCTTTTTGCGTCCAATCTGCATGATCTTTTCTTCCACCGAGTTCTTTGTCATTAGCTGGAAGCATAGTACTTTGTTCTTCTGGCCAATTCGGTGTGCTCGAGAGAGAGCTTGCAAATCCTGGTGTGGGTTGAAATCAGGGTCTAGGATGATTACTGTATCGGCTGTGGCAAGATTGATGCCGACACCTCCAGCTCTGGTCGACAGTAGGAAAGCAAAGACGGGCGAATCAGGCGCGTTGAAAGCGTCGATACGTCGCTGCTTTTCTAAGCTGGAAATGGAGCCGTCCAGTCGCCGGAAATCGTACCCTCGTCCAGTGAGATAATCCTCAACAATGTCAAGCTGGTTGAGAAACTGGCTGAACAGCAGCACGCGGTGGCCACGTTCTTTGAGCTTGGGTAGCATGATTTCAAGCAAAAGAAGCTTGGCTGAAGCAGAGATGAGGTTGCGCTGCGTAACTATGGGGTCGTCTGACCTCTCCTCGATGGCTTGGCTGTAGATAAAGGGATGACACAGACATTTACGAAGCTGCATGAGAATGTTGTTGAGGCTGCCGCGGTCTTTCGTCTTCTTGATTTTGTCGTCTGCAAAGATGGCCTTGATGAGCTCTGGACTTTTCGCCATGATCGACTTGCAGAGCTTCTCCTGGAGAATCGTCATGGAAACCGGCAAGATGATCTGCGCCATGGGCGGCAAGAACTTGAGCACTTGCGCCTTGGTGCGCCGCAGGAAATACGGGCGGATCTTCTCGTGTAGCTTTGGCAGGTTGGTTGCGTTCAGCTCGGCATACTCTTCATCAAGCTTGGCGGCGCTGTGCGCCGTGTCGACGAACTGCAGCAGATTGAATAGTTCTCGCTTGTTATTCTGCAGGGGCGTTCCCGTCAGAAGCAATCGAAAGGGGAAGCTCATCGATTTGAGGGCGAGGTAAAGCAGGTTTTGATCGTTCTTCAGTCGCTGGCCTTCATCAACCACAAGTCCGGCCCATGACACTGAGCGAAACAATGACTTTGTCCGGTCATCTTGGGCCGAGTCGTAGGACATGACGACAATATGTGCCTTCATATCTTTGGCGCCGTCAGGAAAGAGCTCATACTTGTAAGCTAAGTCTTGCGCTTGGCGTCCTCCGTGGTAGGTAACTACACGCAGATCAGGGGCCCAGAATTTTATCTCGCGACGCCAATTGGGACATGTCGAGTTGGGCACCACCACCATAAATGGCCAACACTACCATTTTCGTCAGTGTCGTGACCTGCATTGAGACCCGAGGAAAACATACCTGTGGGCTATCCTGGATCAATGTCGTGATCAGGCTCACCACTTGAACAGTCTTGCCGAGGCCCATCTCGTCTGCCAGAATGACATTGCGGCCAGTGTGGTAGCTCGAAAGCATCCAGTTGACACCCTCTTCTTGATACTTCATGAGTTTTCCTCGCTTGATGCCACGAGGCTGTGCCTTGAGTTCGACAAACTCCTTACGCTTCCAAGCTCTCACTCGCTCTTGCATCTTGGGTCCGACGCCAGGAGCGAAGTACTTTCCACAGAGATACTCCTCGTAGGCCTCCTTGAAAGCCTCATAAGGACGACCGGATTCAGGGGGAGGAGGAGAATCCCACACTGCGTCATCATAGCCAAGTCCTTGGAACTTGACGAATATCTTGGAAACCTTGTGAATGCGCGCCATCTCGGCAGCTTTACTTGACGCGTGGGTATCGGCCTTGACGTACAATATAACATCTGCCAAGAGATACTCTTCAGGGATGGCGTCTTGCTCGTTCATCCTGAGAAGGCTTCGTTCAGCATCCCGCTTGGCGAATGTGGTTCTCATAGCGCCGGCAGTGATCCCATGCACCCAAGCACCAGGCATCCACGTGCAGTGGAAGTAAGAATGGTCGGCCCACTTCACAAGATATTCCTTGCCGTCTTCGGGCAAGCTGCTGAAGTCCGGTGCAGCTTCGCCGTCTTCGATGGCCCCTGCCTCCTTGCCCGTTGGTCGCCAGGCGACGAGAACATGGACTTTGTCCTTGCGTAGGCTGCAGGCCTCGCACTTCCAGTCAATGGAGTAATCTGCAAGGCGCTGCTCACGGGTACCAGCCACATCGGACTCCGTACGCGACGATGGGAGGTGCTCAAAATGCCAGCCACGTTTGCAAGTCGTGCAGCGAAACAAGACAAGTTCCGAGTTGTTGACCAGATTGGGTTCGACCTTGGTGATGGGATCGACACCACCGTTGTCCTGCCGTAGTTTCTCCTCCTCCCTCGCGGTCTTCTTCTTTGAAAAGGGCTTGCAGGCCTTGCCATCTTCTTTGCATGATTGACACATTGCATGATGCGGAGCATTCGCGTCCTTCTTCCTGTAAATGCCTATGCACCATTTGCACTGCAAGACGAAGCTATCGTCGCCGACCTTGGTCGCCATGTGGTCGCGTTGCGCGCGTGAATTGATGCAACCCTTGTGGAAAGACAGCGAACATCCCTGGCAGCCAATCATTTGACCTTTGCTGGAGACTGAACCTTGGTTGCACACGTCACAGACACCGACATGGTACTCCGAGAAGTTAGAGTCGGGCGGCAATGGCTTGAAAACTTCCTTGATGCTGATGACTTTGGGTGCTGTGGTAGTCTTGCCCTCTTCGGCCGAGGAGAAGTCATCATCCATCGCCGTAAGGTCTGTCATGTTTTTGGTGTTTCTTGTTGACCTTCCCGAACGGCGGCGGTCATCTTCGAATTCGATAGAGGAATCTCGAGAGCTGCGTGCCGCGTAGTTCGATCGAGACGGCTTCAGCCTTTTGAGACTCTTTCTTCCTCGGCCTGTCCTTGGAACCACATCGGAAGTGATGAGCTGAAAGTCGTCTTCTCCGTCTGATTGGTGGAGCGAGTTTGCCAAAGCGAGTTCATCATCATCGTCACCGAAAGAGTTGCCATTTGCGAATGCCATTTTTGTGAGCTTCAATTGCCTCGGCTGGCGATCGCGAAGCTGGCGAGCGGGCGGTGCCGGCGCAGTGGCCTCGTCCTCGTCGCTAGAGAAAGGGATAGTACGACTCGTACTTGCACGAGCCGAGGTTCGTTGTCGTTTGTGAAACGTACGCATGCGCTCCTCATCGTCATCATCGACGTCCATCGTGTCGTCAAGGGATCCGGATGAAGCACTGTCTTCTTCGGTACCGTCCTCCCAAGATCGCTTATGGGCGGTTCTTCGACTCATCTTGAAAATGTCCTCTGGGGTGATCCCAGCATGCCAACGTCGTAATGCGGTCTTGCCGCCGTGCTGCGCTGCAAGGTCTACTTCAGATACCTTGAGAGAGATGTTAGTAGTCGCGCATTTGGTGTTGCGTGAAGATCAAGTTTGAAGAGGTTGGGGAAGGAGAGAAAGCCGAGTCAGCCCGACCTGACCTGCACAAGAAGAAGGCAGCTGTGCAAGTGAGAGCTGCCGAGGATAATTGGCGGGAACTGTTCTGGATAGGAAAGGATCAAGAAGCGTTGAGAGGCGCATCAAAAATGCGGCGCCTTCCTAGCGAGACAAGAAAGAGAGGCGCAATCGATGGGAAGGGTTGTTAAAGATATTGAGAGCGCAACGCGAGGTAGAGAGTAGACTTTTGCGTTGACTTACAAGATGTTGCCTGCCGTCTGTATACTCAATTCTGTAATAAGGGTCGTATGGCTGTTCTGCAACCTCCTCGTAGACAAAATCCACCCGGTCACTGCGAACCTCTCGATAGTGCGCACGCTCTTCTGGCGACAATTCTGGTAATACAATCTCAAACCGAACCGGTCGTATGCGCTCGGGGGCCGTCGTTCGCAGCGAGTCTGCCTGGGAATCCCGCGTTTCGGAGCTGTGTCGGTCCGATACGTCTGGCTGTAGCTCATCCTGTTGGGCCTCCTGCGCAAGAGGCGCAACAGGTTCTTGAGACGTCGCGTCGAGCACCTCCTCTTCTTCATGTTCGGTGCCTTCGGGAAGAAGATCGGCGAGGGCCTCGTCCGACACGTCTTCGTTCGCATGGGTCTCGAACTCGTAGGCTTCGGGATTCTCGACAGACTCCAAAACGTCGGCAGCACTCTCCTCGGAGGAGCTGAATTCCGGCTCTGGAGTTCCGAATACCAAGGTGCCCTTCCAAGTGGAAGGAGCCACAGACTCGGAATCGCTGTCGGTTTCCTCCATGGCAAAGCAGCAGGGCGTTCGTCGATGTCATTGGTGATGATGGGTGATGGGCGGGCAACGGCAAGCCTACGAGTCGAACGACTTTGGCCTGCGGCTATTGGCATGACATGGTTTCGAAATGCGACGTGCGCAAGTCACCGGCGTGCGTACAGAGGTGTGGTTCGTATCTGGCCCTTAGCGGTCGATGTATAATGCATAGATAAAAAAGGCTACTTCTGCCACGGCCAGGGCAGTGCCAGGAAGACGCGGTTGCCGTTCGTTTGCCGTTACTGGGCACGCGTTATCCTGGACAATCCATTAAGCTCCCGTTGCCCCACTTTCCCTTTTGTACGGCACGCATCTACCTGCCTGCCAAGCCTGTCTACCTTAGCAAGCTTAGGTAGATATAGGTAGGTACCTAGGTACCTAGGTACCTAGGTACCTAGGTTCCGAAGCCAGGCAAGGTACAGACAGGGTGGACGAGGCACACCAACAATCAAGCGTGCCTCGGACTGACCGCCTGGGATCCTCGACAGGGGAGGGGCAGGGGGGCCAGACGGCAGAAAAAGTACGAACCACCAATGCCATCTACCTGAACTTTCGAGACGACCTGGGTTCAGTACTGTACACACCCGCCCTTCCCTCACCCCTTTGGCTTGCAATCCTCGCCATCACAACATGCAATGAGTCTTCTATCAAGATGGAGCACGGTTGCTTCGTCCACACACGGCGCCAGGCCTGCGCTCCGCTGTCGCTTGTCTCTCCCCAACACCAATATCCGCCAACAGTCCTCCTTCTCCGCCGTATGGCGCGGCCTTCGCACCGAGCGATCTGGTCGCCGTGAACCTGGTTCCTCGGGCCGCGGCCGCTCTTCTGGCTCCCGATCTTCTGACTTGCCGGCAGCGCGTCGACCGTCTCGCCCTCGAGATGGAGGTGGCCCCAATGGCAAGGTCGACTTGGCCGCCAGCAGCCTGGGCGGCGGGCGCACACACTACAAGCCCAAGAAGGCGTTGCAAAAGATGAGGGAGAGGGAGGAAATGGACACAGAGGGCGGTCGTAAGACGCGCAGCAAGCGCTTCAACAACCCGGAGTACTCGTTTGGCAAGAAAAGCCTGGTGTATCAGCTCAACAAGGGCGATTTCCAGGACAAGATCTCCAAACTGGTCGACGCGAAACGGACCGGGTCCAGCACGGCGGCCGGCACGTCGGAGAGGAAAGATGTGCGAAGAGAGGAGGATCCATGGAAGCGCATGTCCAGCTCGACCGACGACAGGCAGCAAGCCCGCAGCCGCAGGGGCGCCTCGGGCGACCGGCGACCGCGGAATGCACAGCCTTGCCCGGCCCGGGACGCAGCCAGGTCAGAGGGGCCTCGAGGAGACGACGGTGCCTTCAGGCGCATGCGCTCGACCTCTGATTACACGCCGCGCGAGCGGGGATCCCCCGCTGCCGGCCGCAGCTTTGGGCACTCGGACGTAACAAAGCAGCGCGCCAGGGACGAGCTGCGTGAGGAAGACGACGACGCCTTTTCGCACCGGCCGGCGTTCAAGGGACGGACAAACAACTTTGCGGCGACCCTGCCGCAGTCGACGGCCGCCTCACAGTTCCTCTTTGGCCGATGGCCCGTCGCCGCGGCGCTGGAAGGAGGCGCGGGCGCAGGCTGTACCACCTCTTATGTCTATTGCCGGGCAGCCAACAGGGAGGAACGCCCAACGATCCCCGTTCGGCAACGCCTCGGCCAAGAAAGCCACGGCGTCCGGCGTCCACCGGTCGTGCCCGAGTCCGGAAGCAGCACATCATGGACAACATGAGCAGGGGGCCGGCCGCACAACGGCCTCGTCCTTGAGGTCTCACCTCTGCCGCAGCTCCCGCTCGTCAGCCTGGGCCCCGTCACCGAGGACGGCTACACGGTCGAGATTGCGCACCAGATGAGGGAAGACGCAGAGATCAACGGCACCGAGCCCTTCCAGGCCTGGGACTCCCGGGCCGGGCACAAACCCTTCGTGCTCCTGTTGCACGAGGTCATGGACCCGGGCAACCTGGGCGCCATGCTGCGGACGGCACGGTTCCTCGGCGCCGCAGCCGTCGTCATCACCAAGCAGACGTCGTCACCCATCACGCCGACAGTCGTCAAGGCGGCGGCGGGGGCCGCCGAGGAGCTGGCCATCTTCTCCGTTGCCGACCCCGTCGCGTTCCTCGAGGGGTCGCAGAAGGCCGGCTGGGAGTCGTACGTGGCCGTCGCACCGGCGTCGGGCAGCAGCAACAGCGCCAGGCAGCAGGTGACGGCCGACGAGCTCGCCGAGGAGGATCCCCTGCGGGAGAAGCCGTGCATCCTGGTCCTCGGCAACGAGGGCGAGGGCCTCTCGCGAAAGATCATGTCGAGGGCGAGCCGCCAGGTGACTATCCAGCGGCAGCCGGCGGGACGCAGCTCCGTTGACAGTCTGAACGTCAGCGTGGCGGCGGCGCTGCTCTGCGACGCCTTCACAAAGGGTGCGCGGGCTGTGCCGAGGAGCTTCCAGCAGAAGCTCAAGCTAGACGAGAAGAGGGCGCGCGGCGGTGAGTCTCTTTTCTGAGGCCCATGCCCCGGGGGCTGTGTATACAATGTACTTTTACCTGTCAGAAGCTTCTGTCTCTTTTTTTTTTTTTTTTTGTTTCCCAAAAAACCCATCATGGCGGCATATGGTGGCGAGGACTATCATGAGCAAAGTGTCACTGCACTCCAACGTTTGTAACAATATCGAAAGCCAATTCCAAAGCCCCTTTTATTTCCTGTACGAGCTGTACTTTGTGACGTGTGATGTACAAGATGGCCAGTCAGTCGAGAGAGAGCCCACAGACATCAGCCAGCCAGCCAGCTCCAGACCTGAACGACACGCTACGCGGCAAGGAAGCAAGTGTAAGCGGGGCAACACCGGGCACGCTATCGAGGGAAGCTGCTGAGAGCCTTTCGCCTCAGCCCGCCAAACCAAACCCACGATTCTATATGCACTCCTTGAGTTCGGGTACCCCTCCTCCAGAGGCTCTAGATTACAGTGTGGCAGCGCACAAGGTTACTGGCATTTTGTATCGTCACACCGCGAGATGAATTGCCTCTTTCATGAGAAGGCTTACAGACGAAGCGGGTACTGACCTGGCCGTTTTGGTATCACATCTGAACAGCGTCGAATTGATGAAAACGATGCAAAAACAGGTCTTTCTTCACTTGCTTGCCGGGCCGTGCCATGCTGGGGAGCAAGGGGGCCAAGAGTAAGCCACACACGCACGATGAGACGGGAGAAGGGCAACGTGGCAGGACGAGGGGCAGGGGTGGCGCATGGTGATTGTTGCGGTGAGTCAGATCTCCAGCATCGGTTGTATTCTTGCCTCTCTCATCCCATATGGCGCTACATCTATTTTTTTGCCCCTTGGTCCTTCCACAGGGAGGAGTAGGAGCGGGAGCGGCACAAGGGGACTGTCAGTGATCAGGCGAAACGAGCGGGAGGTCCGGATGGAGTGTGGACAGTGTCTGGCGTTTGTTGTTCGATGCTGTTCTTGGCGAAGGAGGGAGGAGGCGGACGCGGAGGGGCCGGGGATGGGATGATGGTCAGCTCATAGCTATATTTCTGGGGATGACCTGGGTAGCACATGGTACCTGGCCATGTTTGATGGCGATTGTGGGGGCTCATAACGCTGCTCGCCAGGCTGCAGCAAACCATGTGGTCGAAAGGCGTTTTACCGACGGTGCCTTCACACAAAACACACCCATATAACCAAACACACATATACTCACACACACACACGAAGGGAACCAGGTCAATCCAGGTTGGCTGGCATATGCCGTTGTTTCGAGCCGATAGAAGATGGGGCCGAGGCTGGCTCGTCTGATGCTTACTAGCGATGCTTGCTCGAGTTGGAGGCCCCCTTGGCCCCGTCTGCCGGCCTGTCTGTCTGCCGGCCTTGACCGTCTACCCTGGTCCCGCTGCATTGATGCACGATGGTGACGATGCGTCGGACGTTCTGGAAAAAGGGGAAGAACCAGCTCTCCAGACGAGGCAGGGCACCTGTAGCAAGGGGGGGACGTCGAGCCACGGAGGAATGCGTCTCAAGGGCCATACCTGTGTACCTAACAAGCCTAGGTAGGTAGGTAGAGGAAGGGCTCAGGTACAAGCGTCACTAAAATGGAAAAGCATCTCCACTGGGAACGCGTAGTCGGGACTGGCCGCACGCTTGGCTTCTTCCCCTGGTACTGATCCCGGTCATGGTCACGGTCGTGTTCCGTCTGCTCTCCACAGGAACCTTCTCGTCATTTGGGCTTGCTTGGCCATCCACTGGCCCCTTTTCTCCCACGATCCCAGAGAGAGGGAAAGAGAGAGAGAAATCTCCAAATAAGGTCGCTGTCCGCCCGGGGAGGTCCGTTGGGCGGCGGCTTGACTGAGGTGATGCGAGGTGCCGAATCTCTCAGACAGTGCTGTCCTTTTTCTCGCTCGCCAGAATCAGTGCGCCACGCCATTGATGATGATCCCCCCGTTCGGCCTGCTTGCCCTCCCTGTGGGAGGACAGGCTGCATCATGTTTTCGAGGCTGTCCACCCCCCCCCCCCCTTTTTGGCGCGAATCGAGAGACGGCGATCATCATCGTTCAGGCGGCCAGGTTCCCGGGCCCCTTCCCAATTTTCGGCAAGGGGGGAAAGTCGGGCGTCCATCTTCTCTCGGTCAGGTCGTCCCCCCTCTTACCCGTTCAAAACTCCTCAACCCGACCCGGCTTCCTTTCCCGACGGAAGTGGGCGTCCGCCGAGGCTGGATAAGATTGCTTGTTTCCCTCGACATGAGCGCCAAATAGACACCATCGCGTCGCATCAATCTCGGTCCAGCAGAAAGAAAGAACCAACGGGCCGGGGACCTGGTCCGCAACCGATTCATGTGTTGGACCACGTCTGGGACCTTGACAGCCCGACTGATCCATCCATGCCGAGGCCCAACTGTGCCCTTTCATGTCTGTTCGTTTTCCTGACCAGTGCAGTGGGAGGAAGGCCAGGCCGGGCCACGCCAAGGCAATGGGAAGAGAGGCAGATCCGAACAGGGAAACGTACAGCCCGATGGAAGGTAAGGTATCGAGTGTTGAGGCTCGCCCCTGATGTCCGGGTCTCGCAAGGTCAACAACGCGCTATTGACTCAGCAACGCGCACGCCGGCTGTTGGTTCTCTGACGCGAAGACTCCACAAGAGAATCAACGGCAGAGAGGGAAACCCAGAGAGCGCGAGCGAGAAAGAACAAGAGAGTGTGAAGAGACATAGGGAAAGACCGACACAGCCGTTGAGGCTCATCTGCATTCCTTCCCCAATGTCCCAATCTCACCCATGGACACGCCACCCCGGACCGCCCCAGGGGTACCTCAGTCAGGCACTGAAGGTAGCTAGGTAGCTAGGTAGCTAGGTAGGCACCCGGGGAAAGAAAGATCGGGGCCATTGGCCCAACACCTAAAACTACCCCCACAGCGTCCCCAGTCGGGGAGCCTTCCGGGGCGCATTGCCCTGTTTGCGACACGCTGTCATGGACAGATGGAACATTCCTTTCCGTCAGGACGACGAGGCTTGCCGGATCGACTCCAACTCAGGGAATCGCAGACAAACTGGGAGGGAGAGCCCTGCCAGCCATTGCACCGAGACACGCCATCCCCGTCATCCCCACAACCTTTCTTGCGGTACCCAACTGAGGTACGCATTGTGCCCCAATGACAGACGCCTGGTTTTCCTCATCTGAGATCACCGGGAAAGAAGATGAGAAGGGCATCGGGTGGAAGTAGCCCGAACACGTATACGGACCGACACGGGGGT